TATATATTAGAAAAGCACTTTTGACATCCATTTGAAATAGTATAAAATCTTTAAAAGATGCATAGGCAAGCAATATATGAATTGATTCCAACCGTGCTATCGGTGCAATGGTTTTATCATAGTCGACTTCTTCTTGTTGTGAGCTGCCTTGAGCTACTAATTTGGCTTTGTTTCTAACTACCTTTCCTTCTTCATTTAGCTTGTTTCTGAATACCCACTTTGTTCCAACTACAGTAGCATTTGCTGGCTTAGGTACTAGTTCCCAGACCTGATTCTTGTTGAATTGTTCAAATTCGTCCTGCATAGTTTGTATCCAGCTGGAGTCTTTTAGTGCTTCATCAACTTTCTTTAGTTCTACTTGAGAGATGAGTGCAATGGTTGCCTTCTTTTTGAGAGTTCCTCTGGTTTTCATTCCTTCGCTTGGATCCCCTATGATAAACTTCTGAGGGTATTCTAGTTCGCTTCTCCATTCATTTAGTCACGTTCCAACTGCAGGAGTAGTTGACTCCTTTTTTGGTTCAGTAGGGTTGCTCACAGGTTCATTAGTCGATTCTAAGAATATGTTAGTGCTATCGGTCGACTTTGGTGACTTGTTTGCATGTGGTGCTTCTTGACTGATATCTTCATCACCTGCAATTATTCCTTTCTCGGCCGTAGTGTTATTATCATCAAATATAACATGCACTGATTCTTCTACAGATAAAGTAGGTTTGTTGCAAACTCTAAAAGATCTACTATTAATGGAGTAGCCGAGAAAAATACCTTCATTAGTCCTTGGATAAAAATTTTCAAGGTTATCCTTACTATTATTGAGGATGAAACACTTACTTCCGAAGAGATGAAAGTAGTCTATATTAGGTATTTTGCCTTTCCATAATTCATATGGAGTCTTCTTCAAAATGGGTCATATGAGACATCTATTGAGAATATGGTATGTTGTACTTACTGTTTCTGCTCAAAAATAATTTGGCAATGAATATTCTAATATCATTGTTCTCAAGCAATTGGCTATCTTGGAGGACATTATTAGGGTGAAGGAGATGTTGTTTGAAGAAGAGCCTACAACTGAGAATAGGATTGTGCTTCAAAAGGCTCAATCTGAATTGAAGAAATACTTGAATATTGAGGAGCAGTATTGGAAGCAAAAAGCTGGGATGAATTGGTTTGCTGAAGGAGATAGGAATACAAGTTTCTTTCACAACTATGTCAATGGAAAAAGAAAGAAATTGCAACTGAAGAGGATCAAAAGTGGCAGTGGAGTATGGATTGAAGACCAGGAGCAATTGGCTACAGCTACAGTGGACTTCTATCAAAAACAGTTCACAAATGAACGGGATGCTTCTGAATTTCCCTTGCTCAATAATGTACTTTCAATGGTCACTATGGATCAGAATTTGGAACTTAGCAGATTGCCAACAATTGAAGAAGTAAGGGCAGCAGTTTTTGAGCTTAGTGGGGAGAGTGCTAGTGGCCCTAATGGATTCACTGGCTTGTTTTATCAAACATGCTGGGATGTTATTGGTGCTGATATACACAACATGGTTCTACACTTCAATGGAGGAGTTGCATTGCCTAAATCCATCACTCAAACCAATCTAGTGTTGCTGCCCAAGAAACCTAGAGTCGAGACCTTCTCTGACTTAAGACCTATTAGTCTGAGCAACTTCATTAACAAGGTTTTGTCTAGGGTGTTACATGACAGATTGGAGATTTTTTTGCCATCTCTAATAGCTCCTAATCAATCCGGATTTGTAAAGGGTAGGAGTATATTTGAGAANATCAAGCTTGATATGGCTAAGGCCTATGATATGGTCTCATGGAAGTACTTATCACATGTGCTAAGGAAGATGGGATTTTCTGAACACTTCATCAACATGGTGTGGAACTTAATGTCAAATAACTGGTATTCAGTATTGGTGAATGGGCAGTCCTCAGGGTTCTTTAAGTCAACAAGGGGTGTGAAACAAGGGGATCCCCTATCTCCAGCATTGTTCATTCTGTCAGCTGAGGTACTTTCCAGGTCTTTGAATAAGCTTTTTGAAGACAAGTCATTTGTGGGATTTGGAATGCCTAAGTGGTCTGATTCTTTAAACCACTTGGCGTATGCTGATGATACGATAAT